GTTGTAGTTGGTGCAGATGTGATGGAGGCACCAGTCGGCGAGCTGGTAGGCGCAGTGAAACTGGAAGAGATGGAGCCCGTGTCAGAGCCACCACGGCAGGGATCACCGGGGAAGCAGGAGGAATTCACCCCGTTCCTCCATGGACATCCAAGACCAAACCTGGCTGTCCTCTCTGCCAGGACAACATCACCCCCAGGAGCTGCTGGATCCCTCCTGCATGGCACCACCCAGCACCCTGCCGGCACAGGGTCCTGTCCCACCGGGTCCTACCTGAGCCAGCTCCAGGAACACGAGCACGTCCCCATCGATGTCCACCATCATCTGCGCTGCCTCCATCAGGCCAGTGACGGTGTACTGCTCTGTGGGGGACACATGGGGGGGGTTACAGGGCAGCTGGGATGGGGTGACAGTGGGAACACTGGGCTGCCACCAAGCTTAGGGACAGGGAGGGACGCTGTCCCACTGTAGCCACCCCAACTCACCGGTGAGAGCCACCAGATGCGGCAGGCAGAGGCGGTTGGCGAGAATGATGAGCTTCATGTCGTCCAGGTCAGGGCTGGAGCTGAACTGCCCGGTGTAGAGGTACTCCAGCACCGCCCGCATGCAGCTCTTGCTGGTGTAAGGAAGTGCCACCTGCGAGACACCACCGGCTGTCACCCCATGGCCGTCCCCAGCCGTCCCACCCTCCCGGGACAAATCCCGGGGCCCCTCCTCACCTCGTTGGTGGAGCTCTCCACAAAGGGGCCGCCAAACATTGCGGCCATCCAGTCGCAGCTGGAGATGAGCAGGGGCTTGTGGGCACTGATAGCACCGTCATCCAGCACGAAGGTGACATCTGGGGACAAGCAGAGGGATGCTGCTGGGACCATCCCATCACCCAGGGCTCAGCCACCCCCTGCCACAAAATGTCTCACGCCAGGGACAGCAGAGGGAAGGGGATAGAGCCTGGCATATCCTATAATTTGTCCTAAAGATCTCCATTTTTTGCCCTCAGCATCCCCCACCAGCTCAGCGGAGCTCGGGGCTGGGCTGCAGCTGGGCTGCGGCTCTTCT